TAGGGAAAGGGGAAAGAAGACAACTGGAAATGCATTTTTTTTCATGCAGAAAACTTTTAATGCAGTAAGAAAAGGAGTTGGCACAGATACAGAAAGATTATAGTCTTAGGACACTGGAAAGAGCTACAGAAGATGAGTCACTGCACTATGCTGTCCATAACACTCCTTTCTGCACTTCAGGTACTTGTAAATCCAGATCAAAGGAGAGACAGCCGCAATACTTCTCCATTACACAGTACTGCAGCACCTTACTGGAAGTAGTTATTGAAAATGCAGATGACACAAAGGCTAATTTTGCAGAAGTTCTTGAGCACCATTGCAGCAACTGTGAGAAGCTTCAAATCAACTGCAGGTTGCTGTTCCTATTGCTGAAGGGGTGTAAGGGGGTTTTAATGCAGGAGAACATAAACAGAGAACCTCTAGTTGAGAAACACAGGAAGAAGCAGGCAGAAAGAACAATAAAAATACAAATGTCAAGACATTTTAGCGAGCAGCCGAGCTCCCCATTTGAAGTAACTTCAGTTGCTGTCACAGGGGCTCAACACTGCTGTGAACATCGCCTCCGAGATGAACCGTTCAACTTTGCTTGCTGGGTCGGAGTTGATTCTTGTGGCAGGGATCTTGCCATTGGGTTTAGCAACAAGGGTAGCAGCAGCTGTAGCTGCAGCAGGAAGGGTAGTAGTAGCGGGTCGTGCAGCAGGTGCCGTAGTTACAGCAGTCTCCACAGTTGTAGCTGCGGCGGTAGCTGCACAGAGTCTGGTAGTTGCAGGGGATGTAGTAGCTGTAGGTCCGAGAGCAGCGCGTGGTCCGGTAGCAGGGAGTGTAGCACACGCTGTAGCATGGGTACCCGTAGCAGCAAGACATCTTGGTGTGGTGGAGGGAGGCAGGAAAACCTGAAAGGAAGCAGCAGTAAAGGGCTCAGCGAGCAGTAGCGGTGGTGTGAAGGTGGTGGGTTTGGAAAGTAACATTGAGCAAATCCCTCAGTCTTTGGATGTGATTTTGGCTTCTGTTTTACCCAGACCCTTTCTGTGCTCCCTCCTCGTTAGAGTCGACTGTGAAACATGGTTTCTATTCTTAAGCTTCTCCTCTTAAAAGTGAACATAAATATCCTGTATTTTTGAACTTTGGATACAGGAGGCTCAGCTTGCAGATGTACTTCCACACTTACGTGTTGGTGAGCGCTTGGTGCTGAGGCTCCCAGCACAGGCAGCTGAGGTTAATCCCAACAGCTGGTCTGCAGCTCAGGACATGCATGTCCAAGTGTTCGAAAGTCTGACCTGAATCCCACACAGCGCTTTTAAAAGTTCTCGGTAGCATTCATACAAAACATGACAAGTTCATTAAAGTCAGCCTCCTTGTCTGGTTTTCATCTCGGCAAGTAAACTGTTCCTTTCCCTGTGTAACACTGGTTCACACGTCTCATTAGTGCTGATTCTGACAAGGATACTGAGAATGCTCTGCTGCGCAGGGCAGAGCTAAGGTTTCAGTCCTTTCTTGCTGCGGATCAGAGCTGCTCCAGTGACCTCAGAGAGACTACGGCAATTCGTGTGACCTGTCCACACTCATCATTGCAACATCTTTCCATTAAAAAGTAATTTCCATGTTGCTTAATGTACAATTCTATCTACGAACCAAAATTTCAGTGTGAAGTATCACCAAGTAAAGAAAGACAATTTCTGTTCCATTTAAAAAGCCAAAGAAGTAGAGATAGTGCTTTCTTTCATGTGAAGACAAAACTTCTTACTAGGCTTCACATCTTGCCAAGGATACCTGAATGTTTATCCATCAATGTCCCCGCTTTTTTTACTATACAGAATAAAAGCATACAGGATAATATACTTCTAGCTTTGTTACAATTCAGAGCGTGCTATTAAAGGACTTATTCCCAAGGTAAAGGAATCTCTGCGAGAATGGGATCTGAACTCACCAAGTTCACCGAGGAGAGTAAGCCAACCGGAGCGATGTGAGCCGTGTGGGGCTGCGAATGCTTTTATACGGTTTTTTAGACCTGTGGAAGTCAGGGCAATTCTCCGTGTGCTTCCATTGCCTGTTAGTCACAAAACAAAATTTGGAAGTACATCACCAATCCAATTGCTATAATTGTTTTCCTCCACATTTAGGACCATTTTCAAATTCCTCTGGCAAAACGTTGTGATTACACCCTGGGAGATTCTTTCATCTTGGAACTTTCCAGGACAAATGGGTTTCTTGGAATTCACCCAAAGGACAACTGGGAGTGAAACTAGAGGAAGCACAGAACAGTTCTAGCTGCTCTGCCTGCCTAGCTGGGCCAGAAGGAGACTGTTTCTTTGTTCTGCCCCTGCAAGGGAGGTGGATACTGGACATTGAGGGGTGACAGAAATGCTGGAGGCGGAAACAGGCATTATGCTATGTGCTTATGGCTTTTACCAACCATTTTGATTCACGTCCGTCACAATTAATGACAGGCGTTCCATTGATTCCTTTGGGTCCTTCCACTGTCTATAATTTGGCATACGCACTAGGAGATGTTCAGGCCAAGGCACGGGATCAATTAAATGAGCATCTGAGCAACATGTCTAAGGTTTATGGTCTTTATCTTTTTTTTTTTTCTCTTTCTTTTCTAGAAGAAGTTATTAGAAAATCTTACTGGAATCAATGTCTCATGATATCACACACACACGATATATTTATATGAAATATATGTATGAAATGCATATATACATATATAATAATACTGGGGCAAGTGTTGCTGCAGGATCTGGTAGGGCAGAACAAATCTTCCTGTAGATCCACCACAGGGACTGCAGTAGAGAGAAGGAGGAGAGCAGTCTTCCAGGAAGGCTGTGGAAGCCAGAAGGATGGAGACCATGCGTTG